TAGCAGTGCGCTGTATACTTACCTCGGACTTGTGAGCGTCAGCCTGGGATGTTTCCAGCGCGGCTCTCCGTGCTCTCAGCTGGGTCTGCTTTGCCACCAGGTCCCGGATCTGCTTCTCCACGGCCTCCAGCTCGACCTGCACCGAATGCATCTCGAACGTGTCCTCACCTGCACTAAAAGGTAGACACACATCCGCCATTAAAGCAAGTAACAGTGAGTAAAACAATGGTAATGTGTGTGAATAGAGTATTAGTGTAAGCGAGATTAGCTGCTACCATGCTGGCGATGCTAGCGGGCTATATACTAATAGCGGACTCGGAAGTCAAAAATAGAACTAGTGCTAACAAAGCGCTCTGATTGTTTTTGTTGTAGAATACGATAGGGGATATATTCACACGTTATAAAACTGAAAAAGGATGGTGTATAAAATTGATTTTAAGATAAAAATTAGACGACAAAGAATTAACTTGACGGAGCTCAAACTCAAACCACACGGCAGCAACTTCTGGTAGCTTCTGGTCCTCTTTAGAAACTAGATGCTGACCATCTTTACTTCAGGAATCCACCACAAGGACTATGACTGACCGCACAAGGTAATCTCACATAAATGAACAGGCCTTCACGAGTGTTAATTCATGGTTTATTCATCAGTATTTGCATGCCTCATATCTGGTGAAGGATGCTAAAGACACAAACATGTATTCCAGCGCAGGAAAGAGACATTACTCTAATAGTGGTGCTCTGTACACCATGATTTCACAATGCTCTGAAAATCAAAACACTGACTGAATTATGATTGCTATCAGTTTCATACTCATAATGTGTAGTAGTTACTGTGCTTTCTTTTTACTTATGGTATTGGAGAAGAATCTGAAAATACTCAGAGATCACCCGTGACATGCAGTGAACTGTCCAAAATATGCTCGTTCATTTTGTTCATAACAATAACTGCATAATCAACAACAACAACAAAAAGGTTGACTAGTTTAGTGCTGCTAACCTGGAATGACTTTGACCTAAAATGGCAGTAGATTAACAATTGTGAAAAACTCATGCAAAGAAAACATACAAATGTTTGATTTTGTTTGTATTCTTAGTTATTAAATATAAATCTCACACTTGATTAAATGAAAATGAAAAATATATTAATGTAAAAAGCAGTATGTGGATAAGAAAAAATCTTTATCCATCTTAATGACTTGGCAAAAAGACAAGCATTATTTTGTTAGACAAAAAACATATTTAACTCTATCAACCAAGTGCCAAATTACACGTTATTGTTTTATACTATTGATTCTATATGTTATATTTATTTAATTGCTGTGCAGCGCCAATATAATAATGTAATAACTTTTAGGGCAGTTAACACAGAATTGTGTTAAACATGAGTGCTCATTGATAAAAAAGTTGTACTATATGTTATAGATATATTTGTTTGCAATTGTACAGATAATACAGTGCATAAGTATCTGTACAGTCTTTCAGTCAAGCATGTGTATAAGCAGTTCACATTTCTTAAGCAATGCAAGCGTTACTGTGTCTGCTGGTGTGAATCTCTTTTAGCCGTCTGTTGTCTTCTCTGCACTCAGGGACCTTTAAACAGATGAAAGATGATGCATTATGCAGGGGATGTGAATAATGCAAACCTTTGATTTGAGCTCATTCTGCTGATGATTTACAGTTCTAAGATCATGCTGAACCTCTGATACACACAAGTAACTGAACTGAAAGCAGATTTATAATGTAAAAGAACCAATATATGCCACAATCTGCAGGAACGAGTGCAACTTGTAAGCTTGTTGTCAGTTATTGTAAAATTATTGTACAGTTGTAACATAATTCGTACGTGTTTTATTCTTCTTCCTAATAGGTTGAGCATGAGTTGCATCACCAACTCCAGCATCAGCATCAGAAGAACACAAATGATCAATAACAATAAAATAATTATCAAATGTAAGATGTATACATTTCCTCAATGAGCCACGTGACTTCAGGAATAATTCTGATCTGTAGCATGATGTAGTATGATGGTTAATACTAAAAGGGATAGTTTACCCCAAAAAATGACTTCTGAGTACGCTACATCATTTGACTCTTCCATGGTATCATCTGCAAAAAAATAAATAAAAATTATGCAACATACATAGACACACCATCAATGTTACTGGTTAATGACTGATGACTCTATTGTCCAATTGTAGTGAAGAGGGTTTTTAACCTTTATCCACAGACATCTTTTTCTTAACAATGACTTCTGAATATGTGACCTCCAAAAATGGTTCTGGATCATCTAAAACAAACAAGTCGACATGATTGAATGATATTTGCTGATTTCGAACGGTATGTGTTTAGATGGTTTAAGACTCAACCTCTGTCTCTCTTATTCACTTCAGTCACGTCATCATAAATGTGATCAGAACCTGCTGGACAGCAAACAAGCATTTGAGGATAAAAGGTAGAAAGCATAATTATATATGAAGATTAAAGGGATGGTTCAAAAATATATTTTGAAAAATGCTGGGGTCCAAGTTGAACCCAACTGATTTTTATTATATGGGCATAATATATTAATAATTATAATAATAATATATATATTTTTTTCAAAATATATATTTTTTTCATAGATGACAGTCATATAGATTTGAAATGACATGGGTAATTATTTGTGTGTGTGTGTGTGTGTGTGTGTGTGTGAACTATCCCTTTTAATAATTATTTATTGAGGCTGACCAGACTGTAGAGGATAATTTTCCAGTTGATATTCTCCAGATTGATTTGGGACTGATGTCTGGTTAATGTTACGCTGCTGATCTATAACAGAAACAAAGAGCATTATGATCACTCAAGAGTATCTGCAGTGACTCTTTAGTCTGATATTCAGATCTTCTCATGAGCCTTTACTCAGAAACTGTATTGTTGCTGTTCAGTTGTATTAATCATGTTATGAACTGCTCCACACCTTTGTTCTTCTTGTATCTCCACATCAGCAGCAGTGAGAGGAAGAACAACAGACAAACACTCAATCCCACAACCACACCAGCGACCAGAAGAGAAGATGAAGCTGCTGAGAACGGAGAACATGACAAACATGCAGATCTCATTGTAAGTCACATAATATTTCATAAAACGTAATATTTCAAGGCTTCTGACTTTACCCCCATGCTCCTGCTGGGTATAACATTAATTTGAACAAAGATAGCATTGATATTTACTCATCTAGAACACCTATAATAAACCTTATTTGCCCAAAAGGAGGCGTCTTTAAGCCACACAAAACTGATAATTACTTAATTAAAAATGCATCAGTGCATATATTGTAGTGCCTGATAATGTTGAACAGGCGAGTGTTTATCACAGTATTTACTCACCATTAACAGACAGATTTATTCGTTCACTCTCCTGTGTTGAGTTTGGTCTTTCATCTCTCTGTCCTCTACACCAGTACTGATCCTGATCAGACTCATTCAGTCCTCTGATAGTGAGAGTGTCTCTGTTTACAGTGTAACGCTCAGACGTCTGTAACATTACACTGTTGTTTCCGCCTTTATACCACTCATATCTCCAGTTACTGTTAGACTCAATCACACACTTCAGATTGACTGTCTCTCCAGTGAATACAGGACTGTCTGGTGTCACAGTCAGAGTAGATCTGGGTAAATCTGTGAACATATAAAAGCAGACAAAGATAAAGATAAAAGAGACTTGCAATGAAGTATTAACTCAACACAGTAACTGTGTATTATCCATCTTATTTTATATATAAAATGAAATTGATTAAGAATCGACCATTAAAAACCCATAATGGTTGATATTTAAGCTGAATGTCTATTACATCTCTGGTACTTTGGGCCTAAGGTGGGGAAATTTAGTTTTTAGAACATTAATCTGTTTCTTACCTTATGAAATTTTTCAGGCACAAATAGGTGCTGTCTTAAGTCACATTCATTGTTTTGTTAAGATGAAGTTTTAAAGGGTTCATGAAACCGTAAATCAAATGTTCTTGATGTTTACACATATGAGAGGTTACTTTACAATATAAAATACTGTAGTCTCGTTTCAGTCATGGGAAAAAAAGCTCGTCAACAAACATTGTTCTTCATAGTTTTCGTTAATGAAATGAACACTGGTTCAGAACAAGTGAAGCCCAAACAGTTTGATCGCCGTCTGATGGCTGCTGCAGTGTAGGTCATAAACCCCACCCGAAAACAATATAGCTATTCAACTATTTCTTTTTATGATTTTAAATCTGTATGTAACCTCAGAATGATTGCAAAGTAAGTCTGATGTTGTGGTGGCTGTGCTTTAAAATTAAATCATTATAATTTTAATTCAAGTCATGAAGGATTTTGAAAGTCTGACAGTAATTATAAGCCCAATTCCAGAAAAGTTGGGACGTTTTGTGAAATGCCATAAAATCAAGAATATTTGTTCCTTCTCTTTGTTGTAGCACATGCAGAATGAGACCTGCCGTTGTCTTAATCTAATAATCATGGACTTCTCATTTAATTAAGATATTCTACAACATTTGCACTTTTATTTTGCCTCTCTTCCAACATTTTTGGAGAGTGTTGCAGCCATCAAAATCAACATTTGTTTATATTTACAAAATACAATGTAGTTGGTTAAGAACAAATTAATGTGTGTACTCATGTGTTGTGAATTAGGCAGAACGTTTTCGTGAGAAGTTCGAATGTGCGTTTAAACATGAATAATTTACGCAATTATAAGTGAATGAGACCCATTGTCTCTGTTTGGCAGTACCTACCTTTGTGAACTTTCAGTCTGATGAACTTGAACAGCAAACTGACTCCCACCTATAATATTCTGACTTTGTAGTAATGTTGTCTTTTTATTTATGCATTTGTTTTTTTATATTATGAACTCATAAATGATGAGAACCATGAAAACTTTAATTCTAATATAATACAGTCTGGTATAATGTTTATTTTCTTAAGTTTAATTTTTGGCCCTTCATGGGAGAAAGTGTGTGCTGCACTCTTTTTACAGACAAACACTGTTTTTAAAGACAAAGTTTGTTCATTCACAAAACTGACAACTTCATTCTGAACTGAATTTAGCTGCATTATGTGTTTATCTGAGGTGTTAGGTTTAGTATAAAACACAGCTGTATGACCCTCACTATGTCTGCAGTTTATATGTAAAGTGTGTACAGAATTTCAGCCTACGACGCCTGAGGTGGACTGTGAACAGAAGTTTCTCCATAGAATGACTGACTACATTTACTAAAATATGCAATACATAATAATTATTAACCACAATTATCAACCACAATCCTTATTCATAATTTGACCTCCAGTTTGAATTAAATTTTCAAAATAACCGTTTTTGTTGTTGAGCTGAAATCTGGACGCTGTGTGTGTTCATGTAGTAAAGTGAGTTTTTAGGAGGAATTATATTTAACTCACCCGTCACATTGAGATAAACAGAGCTTGATTGTGATGAGTTTGGTCTTTCATCTCTCTGTCCTCTACACCAGTACTGATCCTGATCAGACTCAGTAGCTCCTCTGATAGTGAGAGTGTCTCTGTTTACAGTGTAACGCTTAGACGTCTGTAACATTACACTGTTGTTTCCGCCTTTATACCACTCATATCTCCACTCAGGTGTCCAGCCATATGTCCTGTCAATTCTCCATCTCCAGCTATTGTAAGACTCAATCACACACTTCAGATTGACTGTCTCTCCAGTGAATACAGGACTGTCTGGTGTTACAATCAGTGAAGATGTGGGTGAATCTGGGAAGACAAAAACATTAAGTGACTAAACTCTTTCGTTGAAATTTTGTAAATGTTTCACAAAACGTAATAATTCATCCATGCATCCATCCATCCGGTGAAACTACAGACTTCTTTTTGGTGATTGTAGTGATGTTATTGGTTTAAAACCTCACAATCATTAAATAGGTGGCCAATGAGCTACCGTCCGGTTAGGGTATATAAGTTGGTTGGTCATGCCTCCTGGAGTGCGTCATGGTCGAAAGCCCGCCCCCTTCCTTTTTGTTATGGACTACCGAGGTAGGTGTTTGTAGCCGTTTAGCTTGGCTGTTTGTTTGGAGTGTTATTCAGTGATTTATGCGATCTTTACTTCTTTAGTGTGGTGTTAGGCTGCTGAAACATACTGTGTGTGGTGTGCCGTTTGCCCTCAGGTAAGTTTAATGATGTATGGGAAGCTGAGGGGAAATTGGGTTCAGTTTAATGTGGGTTTTGTGTTTCAGTGCAGTGTACCTTTACGGCTCCCATTGTTGTGGCTCTGCAGTATAACTCAATCCAGGTCGCAGCACCAGCTGTTGTCGTTATAGCCTTTAAAGAAGTTGTCGTATGATTCCTATATCTATTGTTATGAGTATTACATCATCGGATTACCGGGTAAGTAAATTGCTCTAATGGTTAAATAACCTCGCATGTTTTACCAAACTGTAGTTGTAATTGTTATTTGTTTTTTAATGATTGTGTGTGTGTGTGTTAGAATAGGTTGAGCGGGAGCCGTTACTAATACAGCTCGTTTCCTATTCCTCATTGTTTGAGCCACGCTGCTGCTTTTGGAGCCTAATTACGTCCACGTCTAGCGTCCAAGTGGGCTTGATGTTTGTTTTTTTTGTGATTTTTGGTGTTTTGTTTGTGTAGTTTGATCGTATTCCTGTCACTGTAATCGTTCCCATCAGTTGTATTGATTGCCGCTATGCGGTAGTGATGGTATGGGTCATCTTGTAACCATATGACCGGTAATTAGTTTAAATTTGATTTTGTTTTCTTTAGTTGAGTGATTGCAATCCTGTTTTTTTTTGGTGAACTTTTTCTAAAAGTTTGTTGGTTTTTCCATTTTTTTTCTCTTCATGGTTAATAATCATTTAATTAATTGGTTTATTTTCTTATTGTGATTTTTATTATTATTTTTTTCTCTTTTGTTTGTAGGAGCTGAGTGCTTCCCGAAGTGGGCTGGGTCTTGACAGCACCACGGACATTATTTCACTTGGGGTGGTCTTTGTTGTGTGTCACTATTGCTGTGTTTATTATTTGCAGTGAATTTTGTGGGAGTGATTCTGATTTGCGTGACTTCGTTTGCATACCTGGTGCTGTTATATTAGCCCCCTTCTTATATAGGAAGACTCTGCCTCCTACAGGATTAGTGTTTTTGATGATTGATTTTGATTGTTTTCTATATTGAGGATTTTGTTTGTTTTTTTTCTTTCTTCAACCTATGGTATTTGTGTGTGCAATGTAAAACATAAACAAGACTTCGCAATGAGAGCAAGAATACAAAGGCCGAATCCACAAAACATCTTAAACCCATGTGATCATATATTGTCCACATGTGATCACTTGGGTTTCACACATTTACACCATGAAAATGTTCCAAAACCAGAAGTTTCACGTATTTCTCATGTGATTTTAACACGTGATTGCACATGTGAAGTTCATGTGCTTTGCACACAAAGAAGAGTAGAATGATGTATTACTCTTATCTGTATGAGCAAAAATTACATTTTGTTTCCACAATTGAGGAAAAAGTGATTCCATGACGGTTTCGTGTGCTACTAGCTTCCGCACAAACACTCAATAACACACATTTATCTAGGTTAATACTAGAACGAGCGGCCATTTAAAGTTGCTACAACTTGCATGTTTTAATTAATTTAAAGATACTTTAATTAGGTAAACATTTACCCCTTTCTACAATATTTCTAAAATCAAATCACTTACAGAAAGCCATCCCCTCTCAGCCAATCACTGTGGGCATAGTTAGTAAGCTTGCGGATATCATCCATAAAAAGTTCACCCTGCCCTTTCTTAGTTTAAGATTTCTCCCAATTCCTTAGTAAAAGTTGGTCTCAGCAGCTTTGTGAACAGGTTTTAAAAGGAACCTCTAAGGTAAAAACTTTTACTGCTCTTTATGAGAACACGTGCTAAGATAACATGTTTTGTGAGGTAATGAGCAACAGCTGAAAGTAATCAGGCATGATAAGTCCAGGCAATGGGTAATGGGAAATGCAGTCCACGATAAGAAGACAAAGACAGAAGGAGTGCCCTCTTGTGGCTATCATAGGTGCTCCGGTTGGCAGGCGTGACAATAATCAAGTCCTTCAGGCTTGTTTGAGAGCTACAGGTAACAGGGCTGAAACTAGAGGCTGCAGGACTGTGTGGCCTTTCAGGAACTGAGTTTCGCACACTTGGCTAAAACTCTGGCTCTTTCTTTGTCTATATCTTTCCACTGCAAGCTCACATTCACATCGGCCTCTTTTGTTTAGTGCAGTGGCCACATCTCAGAATCTACTAAAACACTGACAAGTGATGGACAGAACCAAGTCCTGCCTTCCTTTTTTTTTGATAATCACTCAAAATACAGAAGATACGATCTGTCATTTCTTCTGTTTCCTTGTGACTGGCTCCCTATTGAACAAAAAAATTTTTTTTTTTTAAATCTTGCTAATTACTTGTAAAGCCTTGAATGGTTTAGCTCCTCAGTACTTGAGCGAGCTAATATGCTCTTTCACGTCTGCTGCGATCTCAAAAACTCTGGCCATTTGATAATACCCAGTTTTTCCATTTTTTTTCTCTTCATGGTTAATAATCATTTAATTAATTGGTTTATTTTCTTATTGTGATTTTTATTATTATTTTTTTCTCTTTTGTTTGTAGGAGCTGAGTGCTTCCCGAAGTGGGCTGGGTCTTGACAGCACCACGGACATTATTTCACTTGGGGTGGTCTTTGTTGTGTGTCACTATTGCTGTGTTTATTATTTGCAGTGAATTTTGTGGGAGTGATTCTGATTTGCGTGACTTCGTTTGCATACCTGGTGCTGTTATATTAGCCCCCTTCTTATATAGGAAGACTCTGCCTCCTACAGGATTAGTGTTTTTGATGATTGATTTTGATTGTTTTCTATATTGAGGATTTTGTTTGTTTTTTTTCTTTCTTCAACCTATGGTATTTGTGTGTGCAATGTAAAACATAAACAAGACTTCGCAATGAGAGCAAGAATACAAAGGCCGAATCCACAAAACATCTTAAACCCATGTGATCATATATTGTCCACATGTGATCACTTGGGTTTCACACATTTACACCATGAAAATGTTCCAAAACCAGAAGTTTCACGTATTTCTCATGTGATTTTAACACGTGATTGCACATGTGAAGTTCATGTGCTTTGCACACAAAGAAGAGTAGAATGATGTATTACTCTTATCTGTATGAGCAAAAATTACATTTTGTTTCCACAATTGAGGAAAAAGTGATTCCATGACGGTTTCGTGTGCTACTAGCTTCCGCACAAACACTCAATAACACACATTTATCTAGGTTAATACTAGAACGAGCGGCCATTTAAAGTTGCTACAACTTGCATGTTTTAATTAATTTAAAGATACTTTAATTAGGTAAACATTTACCCCTTTCTACAATATTTCTAAAATCAAATCACTTACAGAAAGCCATCCCCTCTCAGCCAATCACTGTGGGCATAGTTAGTAAGCTTGCGGATATCATCCATAAAAAGTTCACCCTGCCCTTTCTTAGTTTAAGATTTCTCCCAATTCCTTAGTAAAAGTTGGTCTCAGCAGCTTTGTGAACAGGTTTTAAAAGGAACCTCTAAGGTAAAAACTTTTACTGCTCTTTATGAGAACACGTGCTAAGATAACATGTTTTGTGAGGTAATGAGCAACAGCTGAAAGTAATCAGGCATGATAAGTCCAGGCAATGGGTAATGGGAAATGCAGTCCACGATAAGAAGACAAAGACAGAAGGAGTGCCCTCTTGTGGCTATCATAGGTGCTCCGGTTGGCAGGCGTGACAATAATCAAGTCCTTCAGGCTTGTTTGAGAGCTACAGGTAACAGGGCTGAAACTAGAGGCTGCAGGACTGTGTGGCCTTTCAGGAACTGAGTTTCGCACACTTGGCTAAAACTCTGGCTCTTTCTTTGTCTATATCTTTCCACTGCAAGCTCACATTCACATCGGCCTCTTTTGTTTAGTGCAGTGGCCACATCTCAGAATCTACTAAAACACTGACAAGTGATGGACAGAACCAAGTCCTGCCTTCCTTTTTTTTTGATAATCACTCAAAATACAGAAGATACGATCTGTCATTTCTTCTGTTTCCTTGTGACTGGCTCCCTATTGAACAAAAAAAAAATTTTTTTTTTAAATCTTGCTAATTACTTGTAAAGCCTTGAATGGTTTAGCTCCTCAGTACTTGAGCGAGCTAATATGCTCTTTCACGTCTGCTGCGATCTCAAAAACTCTGGCCATTTGATAATACCCAGAATATCAAAATCAACTGCGGGTGGCAGATCCTTTTCCTATTTAGCGCCCGAACTCTGGAACAATCTACCTAGCGTTGTTCGGGAGGCAGACACACTCTGTCAGTTTAAATCTAGATTAACGACCCATCTCTTTAACCTGGCATACACATAATACACCATCTCATTTCTATAATTAAAATCTGTTGAAGGATTGTTAGGCTGCATTAATTAGGTCAACCGGAACCGGGAACACTTCCCATGCTAACAATAAAGTGATTATTAGTTAAGTGTTGAAAACACATAAGCAATCTTTCAGAATGCTCTCAGTTACATGTTGATGCATACTGCATGCATTAGTGAGTGTGGTGGTGCTTATGGGGTGTCACTCTGGGATGGGTGAGTATGAGGCCGGGAGGGAAAAATCACAGTGTACTCACTACAAAAAACTAGACCACACCACTGGTTAGTCCACCAATATCCAATCAAAATGTAGCAAACCTTTGTCCACTATTGTGGTCAAAGAGGGCCCCGCCATAAACTGGGCCATTGAATGTGCTGTTCACTACAGCATAAAAATTCACTTTTGTGTAAGATATTTCCAAACATGTTACATGCAGTAATGTGGTTAACATTTCACACCACTGATTATTCATTGGAACAAAACAAGCTACACAACTCCTAACCAAATGAGGTCAAAGTGTTTGAGATACACACAGCCTCACTTCCTGTTTGACGTTGGTATCATCAACTTAATTGTGACTTTACAGTGGCCTGCAAAAAATTTAGACACTTAAGGTGTTTACACATTAAGTATATTTTAAATGAACCAAACTCAGTTCAGTTAAAGTGAATCAGAAAAGAAAACTGCTGCAAGTGACCTCAGTGCTTTTAGTGTTCACAATGTAAACAGGCTGATGCAACATATACATGTCAAAATGAGTGGCCTTTATTTTAAAGAAATATAGCAAAAGCTCAATTTTCAATTAAAAAATTTCACAAAATAAAGCATGATAATAAATATGAAGTATAATAATGTTTTTCAAACTGGAGTCCAAAGTCTTTCTGATTGTCAAGCAATAGTGGAACATGTTCATATGTTAACGTAATGAACTATAGCTCTGGTTTTTCTGCTAAGAATGTGAAGAGAACTGACTTCACACCACTGCTAAAAATGATGGTTAAAAATAAGAGGAAAAGTGTCTCAGAAAACAGAAATTAGTTCTAAAATAAGCTTGAGCATCATTTGTTGGCATTTGGTTTGACATGTTGTCTCAAAATGCCAGCGGTTCTTAATCCTGGTCCTCGCGACCCCCCGCTCTGCACATTTTGTATGTTTCTCTTATCGCTTCAGCTGTTTGTTCTATTCGACCATAAGCAGGGCTGCATTTCACAAAATAAAGCATGATAATAAATATGAAGTATAATAATTATGTTTTTCAAACTGGAGTCCAAAGTCTTTCTGATTGTCAAGCAATAGTGGAACATGTTCATATGTTAACGTAATGAACTATAGCTCTGGTTTTTCTGCTAAGAATGTGAAGAGAACTGACTTCACACCACTGCTAAAAATGATGGTTAAAAATAAGAGGAAAAGTGTCTCAGAAAACAGAAATTAGTTCTAAAATAAGCTTGAGCATCATTTGTTGGCATTTGGTTTGACATGTTGTCTCAAAATGCCAGCGGTTCTTAATCCTGGTCCTCGCGACCCCCCGCTCTGCACATTTTGTATGTTTCTCTTATCGCTTCAGCTGTTTGTTCTATTCGACCATAAGCAGGGCTGGACTGGGACAAAAAAAATCGGCCCTGGCATTTTTCGGTCCAGGCGGCCCACCACCATCATATACACACACATATATATTAAGGAAGCTAAAAGGTCAAAGTATAATTTCTAATTAATAAAAATAAGTATGCAACTGTGTACAACATATAGGCTACTATAATTTAAAATGTTGCCAGTAATCTTCACACTAAGGGACAGCAAATACCTCAAAGAATGCAACCTTTATAAGAATAAGAAAGGAAGGCGAAGAATACGTTGATAAATTATGATTTCTTTTTTAAACACAGTGAATACAGTACTGGTATCTTTAATATTAAAAGTTAAGTATTTGAATATATTGCAAACTCACAAAATAAAAAATGGTGAGTGAATATCCCATCTCGTTGTTTTGGATAAGAATAAAACGTCAGGTCACATTTAAATCTTGATTTATTCGCATTGGCCCATGGAAACCTCTGTGAACACACACTTGACTTGGCCAAAAAAGTGCAAGGGACAAATTTTTGTTTTATTAAAAAGTGTTTACGTATTCTACACTAATGGCACACATACACATGATGGGCAGGTCCTTGGCGGAAAAAAAAAAGTGCCGGCCCAAAAATGCATCGGCCCACCTGGGAAATTGCCCGGTATGCCAGATTACCAGTCCAGCACTGACCATAAAATGCCCTGCGAAGTGGACATCACTGGATATTCTGACATAATTCCAGTTCGAAAGGATCGTATATGTTCCATTCAAAGGGCATTAAAGTGTGCGAGACATGACTACTATGCAAATCTCATGATTATGGTTAAATAACCCTTCACACTTCCATGATGTCAGTCGAAACAGTTAATGCATGGAGCTCTTTTCTTAAGAGCTGATGATTTGAATCGTGTGTTAAACAAGAGAGACATGCAAAAAGGGCAAGAGGGGGGACAATAAAGAATACAATTAACATTGAGACTCAAGACACAAACCCTCCTACACACAGCACAACCTGTTGAAATGTATCTTCAACTGAATACAATATATTAGAAACAGAAATATAGTGTAGAAGATGGGAGCCAAACTCAGTTCCAGGAGGTCTGCAGCCCTGCAAATTTGAGCGGATTTGAGAACTACAGGTAACACAGTTGGAAACACTACAGGACTGTGACCTTTCAGGAACTGAGTTTTGCACTCCTGGTATAGAATATAATAAAATACTTACAGAAGATTAGAGGCAGTGCACTGGACCCCATACCGACACATTAATAAAATAACTTCTGTCCTGTGTGCTCTAAAACAGACACTTCCTATGTTTATACAGTCATTTCACACTTCAAGAAGAGAAAGGAGGAGACAAAACTGTACAGAAATACATGAATAAATACAAAGAAAAAATGCATTCTAAGATATTTAGCTTCTTTTCTCTACTTGGAAAGACTTTCACAGAAAAGCTATTTCAAAATTGTTCTGAAACTTATTTTGCTCATTCATACCCACAGCCACACACATTAAGGACAGTTCAGAAAATACTAAGTCAAATCACAAGGTGACATCTAATGTAGGTCTTTTCATGTAATTTGAGTTATACTTTCAGCTGTAATTTGCAGCTGAACTGCAGTTCATTCTGGTGAGATTGTGAGTAGCTCTCTGGTCTCGGTATGTCGGCCAAAAGCCTTGCTTTAAATATAGATGACAGTAGGCGGCTGCAGTCAAGACAAGTGGAAAAGAGCTGTAGAGAACAAAGCAGAAGAAAAACCAACAACTGTCAGCTCAATGCCACCACTCGCTCAACACTTTTATTAGGCCTCTTAAAGGGATAGTTCACCTGAAATTGAAAATTCTGTCATTAATTACTCACTCCCATGTAGTTTCAAACCAGTAAGACCTTCGTTCATCTTCGGAACACAAATTAAGATATTTTTGATGAAATCCAAGAGCTGACAGCAAAACAAATTAAACATTCAAGGCCCAGAAAGGTAGTAAAGGACCGTTTAAATAGTCATCATCAGTGGTTCAACCGTAATTTTATGAAGCTACAAGAATACTTTTTGCATGCAAAGAAAACAAAAATAATGACTTTACTCAATTTATTTTTTTATAAAGACTGTGTCTGTTCCCCAAACTAGCAAATACAAAAGACATTCAAAACAATTTAAGGGTAACAATTTAATTGATGTTCAACAAATAAAAAAACAGATATAATACAGATAAACAAATGATAACGCTTGGCTTAATGAATATTAGATCCCTTTCTGCAAAAGTGCTTTTTGTAAATGATATGACCACAGATCATAACTTAGATGTGCTCTGTTTGACAGAAACCTGGCTAAAACCTGATGATTACATTACTTTATGAGGCTACCCCCAAGATTACTTTTATAAACATGAGCCACGTCTAAAGTGGGAGGTGTTGCTACAATTTATAGTAATATTTTCAGTATTTCTCAGAGCTCTGGTTTCAAGTATAATTCGTTTGAAGTAATGGTGCTTTTTATAACATTACATAAACAGAGAAACAAGTGTTAATGATAAATCCCTTGTGACTTTTGTACTGGCTATTCAGCCTGGTCTCATGTTTATACGTAGGTATTAATACGTAACATTTACAAGCACAAAACGTACACTTTTGTACGTTTTTAGTCATGCTAAAACGTACAATTTAGACGTATTTCAACGTACAAATCGCTACTGGAAACGAGCTAGCAGCAGAAATCACAACAAAACGAAATGTTATAATTTCTTAAGTAAACAATTTAATAATGCAATTGAAAACAAGTTAATTAATGTGACAACTAATAACTAATAAAATTAATGCCGCGATTTCAATATTCATAAGGATTAATTTTTAGGTGTCGTCAATACGTTAGTTTTGTACGTTAAAATGCTGAAAATACATAAGTATTTGTAGGTTTAGAGGCTGACAATACGTAAGTATTTGTACGTTTTAGTGCCTGTAAAAGCGTAAGTAAATGTACGTTTTATAGAACCACATTTTACGTAAAATACATACGAATTATCATGAGATCACGTTGGGCTATTGTATACAGGCCACCATATAGACTTTATCAAAGAATTTGCTGATTTTCTATCGGAGTTAGTGCTGGCTGCAGATAAAGTCCTAATTGTAGGTGATTTTAATATCCATGTTGATAATGAAAAAGATGCATTGGGATCAGCATTTATAGACATTCTGAACTCCATTGGGATTAGACAACACGTGTCAGGGCCTACTCATTGTCGGAATCATACTCTAGATTTAATACTGTCACATGGAATTGATGTTAATGGGGTCATATGATGCTATTTTAAAGATCATTATTATCATGTATTTGGTGTAACAGAATATGTTGACATGCTTTAATGTTAAAAAAACACATTATTTTTCAAATTCTGTACATTGTAGGTCCTCTATGCCCCGCCTCTCTCAAACACATCGTTTTCAACAAAGCCCCCTCCTTTGACAAGCACAGTCTGCTCTGATTGGCCAGCTGACCCAGTGCATTGTGATTGGCCGAACACCACAAGCATAATCGCGAGCGTCAGCTTTCAAAGTAAATATCAAGACAGTTAATAATGTCATTAGTTTTACCATCAGTTCAACCCCGAAAAGGGCAACAGAGTCGCGTGACAGACACAGTGATGATGCAGTACACAAGCCACGGTTAAGACAGCTGACGTGCTATGATTTCTGACAGGCAGTTCACTCTCCTGTGATGTGACCCTGTTCCCCTCACACACACACACGACGTGCTCCTCTGCGCTGCGCAAAACTCCGCATTCGAACAGTCAATAGCAAATACTTCAACTAATAACAAAACATACAGTCGCTGATTCAGAAGCGCCAGATTGTCATAGCAAAGTCGGAATTGACCCTTTTTTATTTTTTGGAAATAGCCTGTGCGCACAGCCAGCCTTGCACTCTTATAGGTTCAAAAAACTGTCGTCCATAAAATGCGTTGCACAAATTCGAACATCTGGGTTGTGCTGTTCTGTTGTAAATAAATCTTAACCAATGATTCCTAATTGCATCTACTTCCGGAAAGCCAAATAAAGTGCTTTTGCTTTCGCACTGAAATACACAGCGTCTCCCTGACATGCTGCTTCAACACTACTGCTGTTCCTGAAACCACGCCGCCTTTCTTTGCATGCACATTTGGCCGGAATTTTGCAAATCTTCCCACATAGTGACGTAGACATGTGGGGGCGTGTTAGAACCAGCCATTTTAGGTAGACGTGGATGACTCTTAACTTTTATAAAGAATATCTCTTTGGATTTGAGACTTTAGTCTTTGCAACTTTACAGATCTTCTTTATGCACCAAGAGCTTGTAACACTCCAACGAGAAAGGAGAACTTGAAATCGCATCATATGACCCCTTTAATTGTGTTGAAATTCTGCAGCAGAATGATGATATCTCGGATCATTATCTAGTTTCGTGTATACTCCATATAGTTAAAGCTGCAAATTCACCTCCTTGTTACAAATATATTAGAACCATTACTTCTACCACAAAAGACTGCTTTGTAAATAATCTTCCTACTTGTCTCAATTCCTCAGTATATCCAATAGATCAAAAATCTCTCTTTTCTAGCACTTTAGATACAGTTGCTACTTTACGCTTAAATAAGATTAAGGAAACGGTCCGACACCATGGTATAATGAGCACACTCGTACCTTAAAGAGAGCAGCCTTTTATAAAGAATATCTCTTTGGATTTGAGACTTTAGTCTTTGCAACTTTACAGATCTTCTTTATGCACCAAGAGCTTGTAACACTCCAACGAGAAAGGAGAACTTGAAATCGCATCATATGACCCCTTTAATTGTGTTGAAATTCTGCAGCAGAATGATGATATCTCGGATCATTATCTAGTCTCGTGTATACTCCATATAGTTAAAGCTGCAAATTCACCTCCTTGTTACAAATATGTTAGAACCATCACTTCTACCACAAAAGACTGCTTTGTAAATAATCTTCCTACTTGTCTCAATTCCTCAGTATATCCAATAGATCAAAAATCTCTCTTTTCTAGCACTTTAGATACAGTTGCTACTTTACGCTTAAATAAGATTAAGGAAACGGTCCGACACCATGGTATAATGAGCACACTCGTACCTTAAAGAGAGCAGCCCGGAAAATGGAGCACAGTTGGAATAAAACAAAACTAGGAGTATTTCGTATTGCATGGCGGGAAAGTACTTCTACTTAAAGTAAAGCTCTAAAAACGGCTATATCTACTTAATTTTCATCTCTCTTAGAAGAGAACAAACACAATCCCAGGTATTTATTCAATACAGCGGCTAAATAAAAAAATTAAAACATCAACAGACGCAAACATTTCCCAACAGCACAGCAGTAATGACATTTTTTTCACATCAGACTATAGATCCCCTGAGAAACAATGCCACTCATTCTCTGCAATAGAACAGGAAGTATTGTATAAACTTGTCAAATCATCAAAACTTACAATGTACAGTATGTTAGACCCTATTCCATCTAAGCTACTAAAAGAGGTGCTTCCAGAAGTCATAGATCCTCTTCTGAATATTATTTATTCGTCGTCTCCAGAATCTTCAAACTGGCTGTTATTAATCCTCTCATTAAAAAAAACAACAACTTGATCCTAGAGAATTAGTTATTACAGACCAATCTCAAATCTCCCTTTTCTGTTCAAAATACTAGAAAGGGCAGCTATGTTCCTTTTTGGAGAGAAATGGTATCCCTGAGGATTTCCAGTCAGGATTAAGACCATATCATAGTACTGAGACTGCTCTCATAAGAGTTACAAATGACCTGCTCTTATCATCCGATCATGGTTGTATTTCTCTATTAGTGCTACTGGATCTTAGTGCTGCGTTTGACACTATCGACCACACCATTCTTTTGAGTAGACTACACAATTATGTTGGCATTAGTGGAATTGCATTGTCATGGTTCAAATCTTATCTACCTGTCCGTCATCAATTCGTAGCAGTGAATGACAAGATATCATATCAATCACAAGTTCAGTATGGAGTACCACAAAGCTCAGTACTAGAACTATTGCTTTTCACACTTTACATGTTACCCTTGGGAGATATCATTAAGAAACATTAGTGTTAATTTCGTTTTACATTCCTATTACAAAAACAAAGTTTTTTTCCCCCCTGCTGAAAACGAGCCGATGACGAGACAACAATAAGGTTATTAAACGATAACTAAGTCTAAATGAACATGCGGTCATCATTGACAAAAAAGACGTGACTTAAATGTA